TCTCTATATGGCCACATATATATATAATTATGCGTAATTATTTATATCCACAACGAAAAACATATTATTATACAAATACAATAATAGAAATAAATGCTTATGCTTCTGACAGCACACGATGTCAACGTTTAATTAAATGAAACTATTTCTCCCCTTTTCATTTAATTTTTTTCTTTTTTCATGTAAACATATATGATCCTTAAAAGTATTACTAGTTAGTCAGTAATAAATTATTATAGTAGTTTTATTACTAATAGCAAATGATTTTGAATACTTAAATTACAGTATTACTAATGATACAGAGTAGTTCAATTCAGTGATTACGAAGATAGAGATAATCATTGATGTGTTATTAGGTTCTTCTGATGAAGTACTAGCGTGAATTACTCCCTAATGACGAGATACATAAGTATCAATTTTCTCATGATTAATATGAATTATTTTATATCTTGTAGTTTTCAAACTAACTTATTATTTGCTCTAGTTTGTTACAATGTTTAGTTAAAAATCTAAAGACAATTATATGTGTGATTACATATGTTTGATTATATAGAAAAAGGAATTTACATATAATTTATATATAATTATATGTAAAATTGTATATAATAGAATTAGAAAAATAATAATATATTTAAAAAACTTTAAATGCTCTCTCAAGCTTTCCAACAAATTAAATTTTGTTACTTAACTTAATATACATTACGAATTTGTTTTTACGATAAAGTTACTGGATCACTAATTGGGACGTTCACCTTACTAAATAACGATTGCATAAAATTATGAAATTGTGAAGCAAAAGAAAAGAACGCGATAGTGCTAATTTGAAATCTTTTCATGCAAAATAAGAGGAGCGCGATTACGCCAACAATTTTCATATGTGGAACGTTAGACCGTGAGCATACTTCTTAGCGTTGATACGGTTAATCAACGAGTCGTTGATCTACGTCTACAATACACGTAGAGATATGATAAAAAAAAGTTTGTTTTGCAAAGGAGTGTGCCATTCGTAAAACAATAAAATTGGGTAGCGCAACTGATTACTCACTATTATCTCTACACCACAACAATAATCTTTTTACGACAAAGAAAGGTTAAGGTGTGTACACTTGAAATTTATTGAGTGGTTGTAAGGATAATACTAGTCAATGGGTAGTGGACAATAAAATATATAACTATTATATCTTTCTCCATGCAAAGCAATCATCTGATTTATATTTACCGTAAGATGGGGTTACTTTATGACTGTAGGGGTTACTTTGTGACACAGTGACTATTGGTCAATAGTGATAATTATCACTATTGACCAATAGTCACTGTGTCACAAAGTAACCCCTACAGTCACAAAGTAACCCTATCTTACAGTACTTCCTTTTAACCTTAAAAGTTGACGAGTACATTATATCAGCCGTATGTTGCGCATCGAGTACGTTCTATTAAGACATCACAGCAGTTGGCGTAATCTTTTTTTCTTGTAAAAATAATGAAGTACAATAGAATGCCGTTCTACAGCGAGCGAGTCTCGAAATTGGAGAGAATGAGTTATAGCTTTTGTTTTGTCGAAGATAGTAAAAATATGCTGTCCATGTTTTTAAATTCATGTCATTAAACGCGAGAGAATAGATAATGAAGGATAGTCTTACGACGAGCGCGCGGAAAGAATAGATTGATCGGCGAAGATGGTTCTCGATATATCCTTTGCGTTATGCACGCCGGAGAGATATAGTTACGTGAGCCCACAGACATTAATTGACGGACATCTTCGTTGGCTCGCCGCGAGTCGGCTTTAATGATCAGCCTGTAAAAATGTTTCCTATTTTTATTTTTTTATAGTGCCATAAACACGTCGCCGCTGAAGGCGCGCGTAGTATTTGTCCGTTGCAGCTTATTTATGTGTTGTCCGACGATATCTTCCGTAGCATTCGTAGTTAACTAGACTTGTTAAATGCAATACATGCATTCGTCTATACATGTATATATATATATATATATATATATATATATATATATATATATATATATGTATATTCGCATCGATATAACATTGCAATTTATCGTTTGCATAAACATCTCACGTATTCTTGTGTATCTTACGGGCGCAATTCGACTTTGCTCGGACGTTTTCGTGAAATCCACATTGAAAGAAAGTTAACAAATGCACTTAATTGAGCGTTTCAATGTAATATCTGTACTAGTAATTATTTGGCCTAGTAATAATAATTGCAAAATGATTGAAAAGTAATTAGTAAAACGTATTCTTCACTTAGTTCAACCAATCAAATCGTTTGGTAAAGAATACCAAATAATTTGGCCATAATTACTAAATAGTTTGACTATTACCGAAGTATTTGGCCACATTTTGCATATTTATTACATGATTTTATTTTATAACTAAATAATATACGATTTTACTTAACAAATATAACAAATATATAATATATATTTTTGTAAAATATCATTGCCTTTCATAAAAGCAGTTGTTTATTCTATTTAAATAAAAACATTTGGATTTAAGTAAATCAATGTTATTAGTATTCGAATATTTCTTATTTTTCAGATATTTTTCCTCGTAACGTACTTCTCAGATTAATTGATTATATTCACTTACACACTTAAGTTAAAACTATTTGATCAAAGTATTTGGAAACTATTATTCAGGTTCCATAATTATTACCAATCCTTTGTCTCAGGTCACTTTCGCTCACTTTTCATTTTCAGTTTATGGAGGAGCAGAGGTCTTAGCTTCTCCAGAGGAGAAGCTCGCAGAAGGGTCGTAGTTTGTTTTCGCGGGGAATCTCTATCATCTCTCCGAAAGAGTCGGAATTCCTGGCAGAATATTTAGTTATACTGCAGCACACGGCGGTCGTGAAGCGCGAGCTCTTGATTATAGCACCTGCGGGAAGCGTGATGGCACATTGGAGCAGCGCCGACGTCTCATAACTTTACATAAAATTAGTACCTAAAAGCCCTTCGTCCTCACGGGTCCCGCGGAAAGCTCTAGCACTGGCATTATGGCCGCGGAAGTTCAAACGTTTAATCGGCGAGCATTAACATTAGATCCTGACAGCGCGTAATAACTACCGGCTGTCGGATTATCCCGAATAAGATCTCAAGTGCGGAATTAGGGTGAAAATCGGTAATCGGGTACTGCGCGCGTAAGGATCTGAGAAGAGTCGAATCATATTAAATTCGATTCTCCCCGTATGCGATTAAACGACATCGCGGTGTGCGCGCCACAGTGTCACATGTGTCACACAGAGTCGGCGTCGCGCGACGACGTGGCTTATACGATATCTTGGCAAACACAGGCGAGAGGTATTAATTGCGATTGCATAATATTTACGACGACATTTTAAATAGCGACTCTATCTCGTTCCCGCCAAGTTCCGCGTGTTACGGGCCTCTTACAAGAAAGTTACTCGGCTTAGGCTGGTGTAACATCGTGGTACGCGATTCGGCCAATATATCGTTGTCACTGTATAGAATCCACGCGGTTAGGATGGATTTTTATTCACTGATAATGGCTTATGAGGCATGCGTGTTCACGTGCCGCGCGACACGTGTTATAAGAATTTCTCTTCACCGCGTTGTAAAAGAAAAACGAAATATTGCCGATACATTGATGTCCGAACACAGTAATAGAGAGTTGTTATTTTATTTACGATTACTGTTATTAATTACGTTAGTTTACGGTTTTGCTAATCTCTCTCTCTCTCTCTCTCTCTCTCTCTCTCATTTCCATTCTTTTCTTTACAATATAGCGCGTTTTATCCGGACGCTTTTCTCTTCGAGCGATAATAATTTAGAGAAAAAAAGTACTTTCATAAAATTATAGTAATTTTTGAAGCCAATTATATTTTCGTACTATTTTAACCAATAAATAACAGCAATAATATATATATGGAAAGTTATTATATATCATTAAAATTATAAAGCGCCCCAAACAGCATACGTTATTAAAAAATATTTTAAAGACGTTCAGAAGACATTTAAAAGAAATAGAAAGTGTTTAAAATACTATAAGACATATATATATATATATACAGAAATATCTTAAAAGTAAATAAATATCATGGTTTTTAAATGGTCACTTATTTCACTTGATCAAGTTGACATAAACAAATGATATAAGTATATTGACAAAATTCTTATGTGTCTATTTATTTTTTAGATGTCTCTGTATGTCTAATGTATATATATTTAGAAGTATAGGGGGCTTTTATTTAATATAAACATATATACCTATATCTTTCTTCCGCGCTTACTGATTTTATGGTTTGATTATGGTGGCATTATTTGCACACAGCTCTCCACTATAATACCTTTATCAATTGGTTTTGGATCTTTACGACTAAATAAATTCATGGTTGTTGCTGTCAAAACATTAGACAAGATGGAATAATAAAAAAGAATAAGAATTTGCCATACTTTCTTAACTGTCGTATGGTTTCTGAACGAATATCGAAGTCCTTGAGTCGTTTTATTGTATACTTCTTAGGTACTAAATGAAGAACAAGGCAATTAAGCTTTTTATCCTTTCATTAGTATGATTAACGTTACTTTCTGTATTTTCTGTTATCTGACATCATATTTGCGATGATTTTTTTAGATATCCAGTATAAATATTAATTTAAAACCTTTCTTTTATAATATAATTACACAAATTAATGTCTGAAAAAAGAAATATATATATATATATATATATATATATATATATATATATAGTGGTAAACATGTCCTAATGCATTTGACAATAATTAAATTTTTATATTTCTGAGCGCACACATACACACACACACACACACACACACACACACACACACACACACACACACACACACACACACACACACACACACACATATATATATATCGTGCTTTTTAAACTATATTTTAAAGATTTTTTTTCATATTAACATTATACATACTGTTTTAGAAAGGTTATATGTATTTGATGTATTCGTTCATTTTGTCACTAGTTTTTTAATGAAAGACAACGTAAATATAATTAAACGTGCTTTTTATTAAAAGTATGTTCAATTCATTTATGCAAAATAATTTATTTTATAGATACAATAATGTTTCTTACAATAATGTTATTAAAGTGATATTATCACAGCAATATTACTTTACCAGAGCTTCGAATTCTTAATTATGGCTTCTCTAAAGCTTCTAGATAGTTATAGATAGTTATATACTCATTGCGATAACTCACATAACCGGTCTCAACGTCTCTCCATGGTCTAATGGAAGCAAATTTATTTTTGGTACATACAGATCTTACAGATTCACCTAGAACCTCTTCTATAACATGCATGTTAAGTTTTGCTTTATCTTCTGATTTTGTAGTTAAAAGCCATGGACAGGTATTAATCTGTGATTTTAATATAGATGTTGGCCATGTCTTCCAATTATTAAAATCTGCATGAATTCCCATAATCACATTTGGTCGCGTATACGACGCACTGTTCATATACTGGATGTACGACATACTATAAGATTCGAAACATAGCGTTCGTCTACGTGATGTGCACAGATAACAAAGTTTAATATTTCTATTTCTGTTCTCTAATTCTGGACCTATCAGTAAAATTGTTAACTTTTTTACATAACGTAAACAATGCAGGAAAAGTTCCCAAGCTTTCACATATAGTAGATCAAGATGATTTGCTGCTATTACATGAATAATATATGTATGCTCTTTGATTGAAAAATCTAATAAACCGGCGTCCTTCATTCCATAACACAATGTCAACGGTCCTGATACGTAATCGGAATAGTAATAATCATCTCTCAGCAACCGTTCTATGTTCTTTTCCGTAGGACATCGCACAAATTGTAGAATGAATGTCTTCATGTCACCAACAGGTGATTTAGCATTGAAAGAAGAAAATTTGTTTTCAAATGAATTAAAACTGAGATATCTGATATCTAGGTTGAGACATAACATTAACATCTTGCATTTTGATTCGTGTTGACTCTTAAACTCTTGTAAATGACCAATACAATAGTTATCGGAATAGCATGTTTGGCAAGTATTTAAATTAATCTGTTGATGACAATGAACACACGATTTTGCGAAAATAATCATTTCCTCTTCATACGGCTTTAATTTACGTAGCAGTCGTGTCTTGATCGTGTGCAAAAATTCTTTTCTTGACTGCGTCCATTCGGACGTGAGTGCATAACGAGTGTTCCCCCAATCCTCCTTTTCCTTTAAGAATTGTGTCAAATATTGGCACAATTCCATGTGATGTGAAGCGTGCTCCCGTCTGTGTTCATTGTTGCAGTAAAAGATCATGCGGCATTTATTACACGGTATCAAATCGCCACTTTTAGTCGTCTTACAAACGTGACAAACATTCGGATGGAAGAATTTATTATAATATTCAGGCTTGCATCTTCCACAATATTCCACCACAAAACTAAAGTTCTTTATCCAGTCATCCATGTTGATATATTTTGTTGATAACGAATACTTTGCGTGCAATGTAAATTTAAAAGTAATACGTATGTGTTATATAGTCGAAGTAAGGAAGGACGTTAGTGCACAATTTAAATGTATAACTGGCAACTCTCTATTTGAAGGAGACTGAGAAGATATTTACAATTTTGCTTGCGGATCTTAAATATTGTTGATCAACTAAACTTGAGAATGTAACAAACTACGAAGATCCGTTATCAAGTGATATACCACGATAAAGATATGCGAATTTTGCAAATAATTATGAGATTTAATTCGCGCCGTAAATTGAAAAGAAACGTGGAAAGAAGAGAATAATGTCACAAGTTTTTAAACTATTATAACTTATTATGACAATTTAAATTATCATGACAATGAGATTGATATGATAATTAACGCTTTCCAGAAGCGAAGGTACAAAATAATTTTTTCCACATATATTTTATATCTATAAGTGCAAACAGATGGTATAATTGTATGTAGCATAAACGATATATAAAATAAATAATAAATATATACGTATGACTTTATTATATGATATTATATGTCATAATTTATGTTATATTATGATATTTAAAATAATAGAAGTTTCCAGAAGTTTTTCTAATTTATGTATTATTATTATTATTATATAGAATGTTTCTCTTCTCCACAATTATCATTAAATATTCTGAATAGCGTAATTTAATGCTTAAGCGGTATCAAAAATTCTAATGCAAAAATGTGGTGATTTATGTGTCATTATTTATTGCTAAATTTAATTTTTTTTTTATTTTGTATTGTACTTCTCTCTCTCTCTCTGTCTTTCTTTTTTTCTTTTTGTAACACTAAGCTTTCAAATAAAATATTATTCATCTCATGTGTAATTATATTATATAATACGATTACATTACCTTTTTCATTCTTGTAGTACATATAGACTTATACAAAATGGATGCCGTTTTATTTTACCATATTTAGCGGAATATGTACTGATTCTTTTACAAAGTTTATATTATATTGTTTATACAGAATTACAAAAGCTTTTATATAATAAAAATGCAACTAAAAATCAAGGACATTTAAAAAATTTAATTATATTATGTTTGAGGAATATTTATGTAAAAGCATTAGATTACGAGAGATTCTAAGACGTATAAATTATAATTTAATATATGTTTAAACGTATTAAATGACATAACGTACAAAATAATAAATATGTCTCAATTTATTCGTTAACAATTTGTTTTTTTATATTTATAGTTAAATATGTAGTGTTTTTAAAAAATATTTTTGTATTTTTAAGCATAATATTTAGTTTAAATTATATAGCGTGTAAATATAATAAAAACGTATATTTTTAACCTCTTTTCTAATAGCAACATTATATATGCTTACAAAAATTTTATGTACTTGATATATTCGTTTATTTTTGTCAATAGTTTTTGAGCAAAAAATAAAGTAACTGCAATATAAAAATACTTTTTATTGAATACATGCTTATATAATACATTCATAAAAACTATTTTATGTATTTCTTATAATAACTATAAAGGATTATAAAATAATTTTCTTATAAAATTCTTATAAAATAATTTTCTTATAAAATAATTTTCAAAATGATATTTTAATAGTACACAAGAACTTCGATTTATTTACTGTGAAAGTGGTAGATAGTCATAGATAGTTACATATTTATTGCGATAACTCACATAACTGGTCTCAAAGTCTCTCCATGGTTTAAAAGAAGCAAATTTATTTTTGACACTGTGTATAGATTTTACAGGTATACCTAGAAACTCTTCCATAATTTCCATGTTTAGTCTCGCAATATCTTTCGATTTCGTAGTTAAAAGCCATGGATAGATATTATTATTATTATTCCGTGATTTTAACATAAATGTCAGCGATGTCTTTTCATTACTAAAATCTACATGAATTCCCATAATGACATTTGGTTGTTTATACGAATCATTGTATATATAATTGGCATACGACATACTATAAGATTCGAAATTAAACATTTTTTTGTGTAATTGGCAATGTTCACAAAGTTTAACATCACTACTTTTTATCTCTAATTCTGGACCTACTACTATAACTATTAGCTCTTGTATACGATGGAAACAATGCAGGAAAAGTTCCCATGCTTTTACATATAACAAATCGAGGTAATTTGCTGCTATTACATGAATAACATATACACATCCTGTGGTAGAAGAATTTAATAAATCTGTAGCATTCAGTCCGTAATACAGTGTCAACGGATTTGATACATAATCAGAATAATAATAATCGTCGAATGCCCAGTATTCTATAGCTTTTAGTGTAGAATGCCGTACAAACTGTATAATGAATTCTTTCATGTCATTACTAAGTAATGTAACATTTACACTAGGAAAATTGTTTGTAAATGAACCAAAACTGAGATACCTGATATCTAAGTTGATACATGACTTTAATACCTCGCATTTTGATGTGTGCTGGTCTTTAAACTCTTGTAAATGTTCAATACAATAGTTTTCTGAATAGCATTCTAGGCAGTAGTTCAAATTATTTTGTTGATGACAATGAATACATGATTTTGCGAAAATGATAATTTGCTTTTCGTATGGCTTTAATTTACGTAGCAGATATGTCTCGATTGTATCTAGAAATTCTTTTCTATCTTGGACCCATTCGGAATGTGAATAACGAATGTTTCCCCATTCCCTCTTCTCTCTTAAAAATTGCGTTAAATGTTCGCACAGTTCCTTGTGTTGTATGTAATGCGCCCTTCTGTGTTTATCATTGCAGTAATATACCATACAACACATGTTACATGATATCAAATTTCCGTTATTGCTCCTCTTGCAAACATGACAAATGTTTGGATGAAAGAAATTATTGTACTCTTCAGGCTTGAATAATACATTATATTCCTGCACAAGGTCACAGGATTTTGCCCAGTTGTCCATGCTGATATATTTTGTTTAGGCGTTGATTACGCGGTACTGTAGTATAAATTTATAAGCAATGTATATGTGGAATATAGCCGGAATAAGAAAGATGTTAACAATCCAAACGTATAACTGACGACTGTTCGGAGGACACTATTGGCAATTTTCTTCTTGCGGGTCTTCCTTCCTTCCTTCTTATTATTTTATTTAGACTCAGACTTATCTCAATTTTAATCCAAGGTATCGAGATACAAATTAAAAAAAAAATTGGTCCTAACGTGTTAACGTCTTAACGTAACGGCGACGTAGGCCGGAACTCTTGCGGGTCTGAAATATTGTTGACTAACTGAATTGAAACTTGAAAATATAACGAACTATGAACATATCTGACACGCGCGCTACCTCTTGAGTGTTGCGGGATGGGAGAGAGCATGCTTGTAAGTCTAGAACAGCGCTCTGTCTTTATCTAGTATAATCTGAACCAAAAGCTAAGTCGGCTGATTTCTGAACATAAGCTAAATCTCCAAATTAGGAACCATCTTTGATTTGTTTTTTTTAATAAGTCGATAAGTGAATACTAATAAATGTGAGAAAAAAAATATATTTTTTTTATATCTTAAACTTTCATTCATAAGCTTAATAGCGAATTCGGTTGCTTACACTAGTGCGCACTGAGTGCATACTAAAGCTTGTTTATAGTATGTTATTATATTTAAAGATTGTCTTAAATAAATTCTCAAATATTTTTAACCATAATATGATATGTACAACATCCGTACGAATCATTTTATTAGTTAAAATGTTTTTAAATATGTATTTAAGACACGATCTTAAATATAAGAATGTACTGTAAACAAGCCTTAACGCGCACTAGTGCGCACTAGTGCAAGCTACCGAATTCGCAATAAATCATTCCATGGTCACTGCTTTTCATATTATCTCTAACTTTTAACTTGGATTATATCACATTCTCCCCACTCTCGACTATACTATGAACCAGACAAAGATAAGAGAGAAAACAAGGAACCTCTCTCTCTCTCTCTCTCTCATCCCATACGCCTCAAGAGGCAGCGCGCGTTCCAAGTAGTATATATTTCAGTGATCTGATATTAAGTAGGAATAGCACGACCAGAGAGAAGCCTGAGAACGGCCACGCCATACGTTTTAGCCGACACTGATTTTTTTCTTCTTGTTATTGGCTGAGGATCCACGAGACACCGATTTTCACGCAGGTTCGATGCGCCATCTACACTCATTTTTGAGGTGGAACTACGTTTCCTACGTCCACTTTCAGACGCTGCTGGTAAAGTATCGATTTGGTGCGTGTCCATTCTACACCTACTAAAAGTAGTCGGTAATATTACTATTCTTCAATAACTTCCGAGAATTCTTTTGTTAGTTATAAAAATTTATCAAGGATTGACCATTTTTAACACTTTTTCGTCCGTAACTTTGTATTTGTTACATGTTTTTACAGATCGAAATGAATTTCGCGCGAACAAAATATTATAAATTCTTTTAAATATATATATATATATATATATATATATATATATATATATATATATATATATATATAAAAA